TAACTTTGTTTTATTTGTAATTACATCATTTCAAAAATATTATAAGAAAATGAGAAAGAATATAATGTTTGAAGATCATATCAAACTAATGTATTTCGATTAGTCTGTGTTACATAAATTCTTTATTTCATATCCTTTTTTGCTGTCATATATATGTATATTTGAAATTTTTATTTAGTATCTTCATTTCTTGTTATCATGTATCTTTGCAATCTTTAATAAAAAATATTAAAAAACATACTTAATGAAGACAAAGCACAAACCAATAGGAATATTTTTATAAAAATAGTACATTTTCAACTTCTGAATATAAATGCAAGCAGGCAATATATATGTGTATATATATATATATATATGTGTGTGTGTGTGTGTGTCTGTGTATGTGTGTGTGTGTGTGTGTGTGTGTGTGTGTGTGTATACATACTATGTGTTATTTCATTAGAAAATCTTTAAAATCAGACTCATGGCCATGCAATACAGTGGATCGATGGAGTTGTGTTTGAAAGTACAATTTCTGTGGACAAGACAGAAGCAACTGTTTAAATTTATGGTAATCGTGACAAATTAGGAACTGAAAACTAATCTACCTACCAGCAAGTAAATATCATTAATGAGAAAATCTATGGTTAAAGCATTTATGTGCATTTACGTTTGAGATAAAATTGCAATTTATAGCCTAAATTCTGGTGGACAACAGCCACTTACTTCTGGAACTTTAATCACTGAACGTGTTGTCTTACCATCTCACTGTTGTCAAAGCAGACGTCTGGCCCTTTTCGGTATCTGGGTTGTTTAACCATATCACAGGGATCTGGACCATCAGCTGGAGTCTCGTTAAGGAAGAAGAAGTCATGTTTTCCCACAACATGCAATTAAAAGTGATAGAATGAAAGCTATTTATTTATCCAGTCCAGCAAGAGATACTTATGCCATTACTTTCATACAACACAATCAAATCCAGCATGCAGTAAAGTACAGAACGGAACTGAATTCTTCTCCTAGTGCTTGAGGAGCAGAAGCAACTTTGACATTCAAACCCAGTGTCTGGCGAAGCATTCATTCTTCCTCCCTGAGCTGACCACAGAACTCTGGGATTAGCATTTCTCCTTGTAAGCGAAAACAGAGGAAGCAAGTCACAAACACACTGCTTTCTGTTCCGAACATCTCTGAAGTCAAAGGATACAGGTCTGCTCCGCCTGGATGAGCAGTCGAGTGTCACAGGGACAGGACCCTTTGCTCTCAACCATTATGAACATTAAGTTGGTGTTCATAAGCTTTTCTGCGTGGAAGATTCTGCAAGATTAGTGCCAAAGGGTCATGTGAAATGAATATATCTTCTGGGAAAGAAACAGAAATACTTCGAAGATCCTTATGTGACAAAATATGACATGGAAACACAAAGCATGAGTGCACTTTTAAAAATAAAGATTATTTTCTTTGTATTTAATACTATGAACCTATTACCTCCCTCAAATTAATATTAAAGAACAAATGTCATATGTAAGACATCTGTTACAGCAATTTGTGTTAGCTCTCTGTAAAATAAGCCCTATTTCCTTGTTGAAACTTAAAAAAAACAGTTCATCTTACATGCATAAGGAGTTGTGGTATACGTCACTTACAATATTCCAAAGTAGCCTTATTGTAGATAGAAAATTGGGGCAGAAACGTGCTAAATGTTCTCAAGCAAAGGGCAGAACAGTTTCAATCCATGACACCTGGAGGAAGGCACCCAGAGACAGGTGTTTCTTCTGCTCCTCGCAATGTGGCAAACTGTGGGCACTAGAGTTGCTGAGCACTGGGAACATGATAAATACGACCAAGACACCACTGTTTTGAATGCAGTGAGTCCCAGATTGCACAGCACAGACAGACAGGATCCAGGGCTCAAATCGCCATCCCTACTTTGAGCCATGCCTACGTCTCTTTCTGTCCTTTTCTGTAACCAACATCAGCATGTGAACAATATCACTACCAGACTAATTCTGTGATTATACATGTTTCAAAGTACAATTTTACCCCCCACACACACACTGATTTGGGACACAAGCATAAAACAAGCGAAATGAACATATAACTCAATCAGAAAGCATGATTCAAATGATGTTCCCATTATACCGATCTTTACCCTGCAATTTAACTTAGTTCTTTAAGTATGCATTGCTACGCTTGGCATCCAGCACCCCTTCTCCAACTCCACAGCCCGACACGCCCTCCTCCAGGCAGCTCCGTCTGCCTCTGCTCTGAGTTCACGGCTGACTTCCTGCCTTTCCTCTCCTTCTATACTCTACTCCTCTGCCGACATAGCGGCTTGCACAGTACGTCATAAAACACACCGGCCGTGTCTCCTCACGATCCGTGGCAGTTGTGGTCAACCCCTTCCTTTCTTGAAAATAATTGTGACTGTCACAGGCATCCTTTCTGAATCCCCAGCAACTCAGTGTTGCAGCAGTTTCACCATCCAGCTCACCTCAGGCTGCTCAAATTCCCCTCCTCTCTGTTAACACTGCTTTTGGGACAACCTGCCTCCAACTCTCAAAACAAAGCGTCCGACTCTGCCTCCTTACCTATGACCAGCCGCTCAGCTCTGCTTGGAAGTCGTGATTATCACTTTCCCTTCAAACCTTCCAACATCCCCTCCTGCCTTTCTCCTTTTTTCCATTCCAACCAATTACATTTTCCATCTCATCACAAAAACTTTAAAGATGTTTTATGAACACTGACTGAATAACATTAACCACAACTATATGAAATTAAACTTTTCCCAGATTCTCCAATTTCAAGTCAAGATAACATTCAATACTTCATGTCAGAGAGGACTAGAAATAAAAACAAACCAAAGAACTCTCCTTTTGTAAACCAACTTTACCGTATGTAAAACGAAACTGATTTGGCTCAGAATTATTAAATAATGCACACTAATTGTATTAGAATATTAGAATTAATGTAAATATTCTCTAGGTCAAAAAATTGTAACATGGATTCTTTTAGATGAAAAACACAGTAAATATATTCAAATTTCTGTTTGGTCTAAAATAGGCAATTATGTTGACCATATAAGTGCAGTTGAATTACTACTTATTAAACGTAGACTTTTATATATTATATATTTTTAAAACCTTCAAAAAAGCTGGAGATCTCTGACATTTTCAACTCAAGCAATTACTCCCGTCTGTGAGCCCAATGATGGTCCCCATCACTCCCCATGAAATTTATGAATGCAACTGCAGCTGGGCACTGGCAGCTCCAGGGGCAGGAGCGGGGTACCTGGAGCAGTTCCCGCAGTCCAGGATGCCGCCGAACGACTTGCTGTCATTGTGGAAGAAGTACTGGGTTTGCTCAGTGATGCAGCTCTGCTTGGACAGAGGGGCGCTGAAGTCCTCTTCCTCCATCTCCACTGTGAGAGTCAAGACACAGATCAGCAGCCACCCCAGTCTACTTCCAACCACAAGACGTCAGGGGCTTGTGTTGTGTGGCCTCCCACCAGCCCCTAGGAGGCACCCAAAGTGTACCAACAGGTACTTAACACGATAGCCATGAAACGGGACAACAACGTGAATATAAAATTTCTCACAAATTCACCAGACAGAAGTGTCAAATGGATGATGTCTCTCTTACATACACACACTCTCTCCCTCCTCCCCCTCACACACACACACACACACACACACACACACACACACTTGTTGAGCTAAATTCACTATGGCCACAGTGAAAGTTTTCACTGCTATGATACTGACCACATGGGGCCGTTACACACCTGCTTCCAGGAGCCTGGGAAAGGTCAAGCTCAGGAGAAACTGCTGCAGAACAGACCTGGAGTTTTAAAATGAGTAACTGAGAAAAATCTAGAAATCTTCCTCTATGAATTTTATACTAAAACCTTGAGCATTTTATATGTGAACATACAAATAAAAAATATTTTTTCCACCCATTTGAAAGTCACTCACTGACGGTTTAGGAGCATCATTGGTACACCTACGTCTTGAATTAGACAAAGCATTCTAATTTGTGAAAGAAGGCAGAGGTTTGAGAGACCCAGTTGGGAACAGCCATGTGTTCAAAGGCCTAACCCACAGTACTATGGTGCAGGAGTGTTAACTCAGAGAAAGGAACACCAGCACTGCCAGGCAGAGGACTTTCCATACAGACTTTCTCCTTGTTTTAGTTCTAAAAAACTCTGTGATAAAACAAAGTGACTTTGTATTATAATGCTTTGAGTTTCTATTTACTTCACACTATAGAATGTGCTGTTTAGCCTATCACCTTCATGGAATAATATTTGCTTGTTCTATACAGTGCACGTGGTAGGGTACAGTTCGGTTTTAAAATAAATGACCACTGAACCGCATCTTCTGGAACAGAATTTAGCTTAAAAAATGGGGGTGGGGTGTAGATTTTGATCGGAAAATAGGATGAAATATTTGACATCTCTATTTGACACAGAAAGTCCATGTAAAACCAATACACAGATATCACCATCATATCATAAAATACAAGCTTGCAGAAACGTAAGGTTTTAAATTTAAATATTCTTTGCCGCCTTGATAAATGAAATGATAACTTAAATGCGGCTGAGAAATCTCACTGTTAATGGTATAGACAGCATAGACTGATCTTCATGGAACGAGTTGAGCAGGGTGACGGTCCCCAGAGGAGCAGCAGGATAGGACAAGGAGGGAGATCAGGAATCCTGGACACCAAGAATTCCAGCCTCTCAGAATCAAAATACTGGCGGCACCGCCCGGAGGAGGGCAGAGTGAGCGGGGAGAACTGGGCTCAGTTCAGCAAATGCTGCCTCTAGCCCGTGCCAACCCTGCACGAATGGTAAGGACCTAAAGAGTTAGGTCAGCGTTCCATGAGCCGGAGCAGTGACGACATCCAATGTGGATATTAGCCGAGAATATTACATTGCGTATCACGTAAAGAAAGATGAATGAATGTGGAGCCCCGACAGAACCGTAGATCAGGAAGTCTCCACAGAGGCTGAAATCTGCTGGAGCCCTGGATTCATTTTTAAGAATTAAGTTCCACGCGGTCATCGATCAGTATTTCCAACATGTGCCCGAAGCAATGAAAATAAAGCCCATGACAACAGCTAACGCTTCACAAGCTTCGTATTTCCCCCAGCACCTTACTCTTTCCCAGCACCGTTCTGTTCAAGATCAAGGAAGCTGCCGGGGGACTCACCAGGCGGCGGCGGTGGCCCACCAGCCGATCTGCAGCACGTCTGCTATGGAGGGCTGCAAAACACCATGGGAAAGTCAGTGCCCTGTCCTGCGCTGCGCGTCCCAGGACAAGAACTGACCCCCTCGGGCTACTGACCACGCGTGCAGACCGATGTCCTGCTCCTTGCTTCGGGGCCGCGCCCGGCTCGCACACCGACTGGTAGTCGTAAGATTTATTGAAAGCGTACACTGATATATTAACCAGGTGTCTCATCAGGCTGGGGTCAATCTCTCCAAAAAACCGGCCAATCTGATAAAGGAGACATGTATTAAAATTTCAAGACATGTATTAAAGTACGCCAGGGATACGTATCTGAACCAGCCCTGTGAAAAGGAATCACGGGAAGCAACGGACCTGAGAGAACAGAAACGCTTAAGGGGAAATGCAGCCAGAGCCCGTGTGGCCGTGGAAAGGACGGACATAGCACTCTGGTCTTCAGAGCCTGTCCTGGGCGCCCTTGCTGGGAATGGACGCGGCACTTAGTAGTACTAAGCATTGGTACTTAGCATCCTGGTACTAAGCTTCCCAGGCCCAGTGAAATGCTGGGGAGAGGGGAAGGGGGTCAGAGTGAGAGGTGGTATTTTTCCAGATCAGCAGGCCTTGAATGTACCACAAAGGACGGCAGTTATTAACCGCAGTGAAGGCTTTGCTGTAGAAATAACCATGCACCAAATATCTCCTAACCCTTAGTACATACAGTGGAGCACAGAAGCAAACACACAATATCAAACGCCTCCCGGGGAAGTGACACGAAAGGCAAATGAGGGAGTGGCCAGAATAGAAAAAACAACAACAAAAAAACTTCAAGGGCCAGAGGGCCAGGAGAAGCTCCTGCGCAGGAAAGACTCAGCCGCTGCAAGCACAGCTGCTACCCGCGAAAGCAGACCAGTGCTCAGAGAATCTTTGCTCTTGTCTCTTTGTAACTAGAGAAGCCACAAATGCAGATTCCAAAATGAAATAAATTGGCAGCTAATTCTGCTCTGTTTCAAGTCTTCAGTGAGCTGCCCATCTGTAGGGGAGCTGACCACTGCATCTGAGCCGGCCAGCCGCCGACCGTGTGAGACACCCTCAGCTGGCAAATGTTTAACACAAGACAATGTCCTCGATGTAGGAAAGACTGAAATAAACTCATGTCATATTAAAAGCCTGACTTCACATTTTAATTGTAACTATTGGTATCAAAGAAATAAAATCAATCAATAAGCTTGAAGAAAAGCTGGGTTTGGCATGGATTTCTTAATGGCTTACATTATATTAAGCATTTTAGAATTTATTTGTGACAGAAAGAAAACAGTGTATCGACTTCTCTAACATTTGGAGACATCTGTTGGGACACACATGCTGGAGACCCGCACCTCTCATCAGCTTCATACCTGATTCGTATAATCATCATGGTTTGCCATCAAAAGAAATCCACCATCATCTAGAATCATACAGTCCATCACCTATCGAAGTAAATGCAGCAGTCAGAACTCTTTAGGAAGGATAAGAGGCACATTAACATCAGCGCATTGTGCGAGAAGATCCATGCAGCAAAGCCAGAGGGAGTGTAAATGACTCTCTTCTGTCAAGCACCCATGCCAGACACACCGAGTAAATAAAGTGTGAGCACGCACACAGTTTTGTGTCATGCTCCAGGACTGGTGAATGACAAAGCGTCAACCCTCCACTCAGGACAGCTTGGCCGGACAAACCCCAAGAACAAATCAGGGGATCTTTTTACCAGTTCAAGTCAACACTTGATCCAGGAAGTTGGACAGACTAAAATAGTTGATGACTTAGTATTTTAAAAACGTAAGGTTTTGACAAGAAATATTTTAGAAATCATTTTAGATACGTTTCATAGATTAAAGAATGAAAGCAAGCAGTATTAAGATTATAGATATCATATTTTTGTGCTAAACACATTTGATTGGATAATTGGAGATTAAAAAGGAGGAATCAAAACAAAACAAAACAAAAAAACTTCCCATAGCTAAGAAAAAAGAATTTATCCTGCAATAGAGGACAAAAACTCCACCAAATTTAAATAAAAATGAAGGTAATAATTATTACTGAATAAAATCTGAATTCCAACACTGTTTTCAGAGTTGGGCACACAGTAAATTATGCTTTCATAATGTAGAAGCAGTCTCCTAAAACTTTTGCTCTAAGAATAGCCACTACATACTCTATGCAGAGTGGATGATTTCTAAAAATTTAAATTTGTTGGTTGCTGCTTTGTTCAGATATAGGAAAGATGAAGAGGACACGAATTCCCCCCATCCGCTGGAAACAATCCACAGGCACAAAAAAAAAAGATCTGAGGAAAAGCACTGGTCTTCATCAATCATTTTTAACTTTGGAATAATTTATGTATTCTAATTAGAGTACCCTCAATTTTTGAACAAAGCCTATACACTGTCTTTCAATTTCCCAGAGTTGAAAATAATACATGACAATGCGAAACCCAGGCCTTAAGTCAAACATTATAATAAACTATGTGACTCCAGGATCTAGTTATCATAATTTTTCCCATCACTATAAATTGTGGGAAAAAATTCAGAGAAGGTTCAAAGGATGAGAAGAAGGCATTGGGAACCAACAAGATGTTTTGGTGAGAAATTCTCATAGAGAAATACAGCTGAAGATAAATATGCACAAGAGTAGTGTACGGAAGTGAAGAGAATGCCACCCACATCGACTGGAATTTTTTGCCTTCCCATACTATCTGGATATTTTAAAAAGAAGCATTTAAAGACAATAATTAAAAATACAATGTTTAAATTAATATCTAGCAATCAGAACATGTTTTCATAGAATTTAGCACTTAATTAAAAATTCCTACATCTTTTTATCAATACTGTGAAGTCTCAACAAGCAAGAGAAATAAAAGAACATACTGCCATTAAATGTATTTTAAAGAGCATTCTTACATCACTGTTTCTTTTGCAGTCACAAATTGGACCAGCGCACTGAAAGACAGAAATACAGGTATCCCACTTAAAAAGTAGATTTCAATTATATTTATTACTGCCGTGTTTTAAGTAGATATTTTGGAGTAATTTGTCTAGTACAAAATAAGATTACAGCATGGTCAAATAAAAATAGTAATTTCAAGGGCTGGGGATGTACCTCAGTGGCACTGCACCTGCCTGGCAAAGGCAAGGTCCTGAGTTTGAACCCCAGCACCAGAAAAAAAAAAACCCAGTAATTTTACACTTAAAATTATAAAATATCAATCAATTGAAATCTAAACTAGCATATGAAATTATAAACTTAAAATTTTATATTATTGACTAAATAAAACAAAGTGTGAATAAACAGGCATCAGCATTTCTATTTCAATGTAGTGGTGGAGAAAATTTACTTTGCCTCTCTACAGGGAGCTTATCGTTTTGAATTTTGAGAATGTTATGTGTACCATAAAGAAAAAAAAATTTCTTACCGGATCCCTGATTGAGGCTTTGGTGAAATTCTCTATCCAGGAATTCACATCAATTTTAATTCCGACAACTAAAAAATTAATTTGAATGAAAGGCCCAGTTAGCTATAATAACTTCTTCATTATGTGAAAGGGATGGTGAACCTCTTAGAGCTTTCAATGATAACAAACAGCCAGCTGTGGCACATGTGCCACAGGTTCGTCACCACTGGTCTAGGTGATTTATATAACAACAAGTAAATGCTGAGTTGAAAACAGTGTTTTTACAGAGCCATATATCCTAGGGTCTTCATTAAGAAATAATGCTACTGGCTCTTAAACTATTCCACAAACCCTAATTTATATTCATAAAACCCTGTGCTCGTTTACTAATCCTGCAGGCTACAGAGCAAAGCAACGGTGGCAGGGTTATCTCAGGGCTGCAGTGAGAGGCAGGGGGTCAGGCAGTGGGCACCTGAAAGGGAGCAGAGTGGGCGGAGGAGGTGGGTGCACGGTGTGGGGAACTGCCAGTGCACAGGCAGCAAACAGAGCAGTGGGCGAAGCTGCAACCGAGGGCAGGAGGCCATGCGTGAGGCTAGCGGTGCTGGAGAGGCTGACGATGTGTTCTCAGAATCGGGAAGACCACCCCCCTTGCCCTACCAGACTCTCCCTGAGCTCCTTTCCACACTTTAAACCACGCTGCTCATACGATGAGCAGAAGGGACGGTTCTCAGGGGTCCTCTTCTCTCACCCCCGCCCACCTCCCCTTTCTCACTGATGCCGTTTTCCTGATTTTGTTTCCTTGCTTGATTTATCTTACCAGAAATTCATTTTCCACATATTTTATTGCACGTTTTGATGCCTACCTAGTTCTTTCTGACAGATACAGTCGTCTAACATATATGTATACCATAATGTTTTCCCCCGTGATGAAACTTTTCACAATGAAACTGTCAAAAATGTATGCCCTTGGCCACATACCTAGGCATATCTGAGTGTAAGAGAGAGTTCTAGCACAGAATGGCTAGATCAATCCAAGATTTACAATTTTGGCATATAATACCAAATTGATCACCTCAATTTGTGGATAGCACATAAACAGAGTCACTTCTTGGAAAATTATTTAATGGTGTATAGCAACAATTCCTTAATTTCGTAATTACTAACTGTATACTCTATGGAAACTTTTCTATATCATGGACTTTGAGGTTTCCTGAAATGCTGCCAGTTTGTGATATAAAACCGAGGGCACATTTACTTCTGCTCATGTCTGAGTGTATAATGCGCAAGCTTACCTGCAGGCTTAAGGAATTTTCCTTGGATATATATTTCTACAGCTTTGCTTACCATAATGCCTGACTCATAGGCACCAGGTCCACTTTCTAAAGAAAGAAAAAGAAGGAAAGAAAGGCCAATCAGACAAATCAAGAAACTGCATTGCTTTCAGCAGGTACCGGTGGAGAGTGCTTTCCTTCACAATGTCAGTGTTCGTGGTCCACACAGAGGGGTGTGACTTTGCCTTTGTCTCGTCTTCCTCACTGTGAGACGTGCACACCGAGTCTCCCTTTCACTGCATTTGCCGAAATATGGGGACAGCCGCAGGAGTGGAATGAAATGAATGACCTTGGGTTTATGAAACCACCGTGAACAAAACTGAAGGTCTCAGAACTCCAGTGTTCTCCTTTGTGGAGACGGGAGTAAGGGATACTGATGCTCAGAGATGTTCAAGAAGTAAACTGGAAAATTTGTTTTTGGTGGGCAAGAACCAGATAAAATATTAGTAAAGAATCTACTATTTTTATAAATGCTGCAAATTACAATTAATCAATTCACTCCGCTTCAATTCACTGTAGCTTTCTCAACTTATGTTCTGGTGGGGCAGAGGAGGTAGTAGAATCCATTGTATAAAAGGAATTGAAAAAGCCGTGTTCCAGAGCAACACTTACTATTAAAGTAAGGGGCCGTGAAGACGTAGTTATCGTTATCCAGGCTCCGCTTGTAGAAGCTGTCCTCATAGGTTTCTGGATTTTCTTGCCAATTTTCTCCAGCCCTAAGGAGGAAACGGCTCATCGTTTGTATTCTTTAACCCCCCACCCATAACCTGCTTTGCCTGGGTGGATGCACTGTGCTTTACAGAGATGTGTGTACCTCAGGAGGGAGGGAGGGAGGGGGAGTAAGTGATAGCGCGCAGGATTCCTGCTCACTGCTCCGCACAGCGTGAGCTCGGCACCACGGTTAAGAATGGCAGAGCTGACTGTGTTGCACTGTGCTGTTCATTGCACAGGAAATTACGGATTGGTCAGTTTAAAAGCTAATCAAAATAGGCCTTGGTGCCTACTTGACGCACTGTACAAACTATTCCTAAGGTACAAAGAGAAGATGCACCAAAGAACACTAAAAATAGTGGAGTCCTACACAAGTACAGCTGGAAAGTCATAATCATTGTGCTTGTGTATTTTTCTGTACCTGTTTAAATGTCACGTTTTATCCATATATAAATCTCTCTC